GCGGGGCTCGCGGCCGATGCGCTCCCCTCAGCGGGGCAGGAGGGCTGGCGAGGGGTCACCGCGCACAGCCCCGCGCTGCCTCCCCTCCCCGGGGCGCGGAGCGCGTGCCCTGCACGGAGGGAGCTCCCACCTCGACCTGACTGAGTTTTTCTCCCCTGGCCCAGCCGTTCCCTGAGCCGCCTCTCGTCGTTGCTCCGGCTCTGGTGAGCGGGTGAGCAGTTCGGGTTGGGGGCCCTGCCCGAAGGAAGGAGCTGTTTGCAGCCCCCAGCTGGGCCCTTTCCTTGGCGCGCGTGCAGCGTTCCTGCGCTTCTCGCTCACGGGAGCCGAGGCCCCAGCGCTGCTGCTGGGAGGAGCTGTGGCTGACGAGGCCTGAACTCCACTTCACCCGGGCCTGGCCCAGCTGCCTCCCTCCTGGCTCCGTCCTCCGGCTTTGTTCTCCGCGTGGAGCTCCCAGCTGGTGGAGGAGCCGTGGGCAGCGGGCTCGGGGGGAAGGAGCTCCTCTCTGCTGACCTGAGCTCTGCCCGCGGAGCAGCTGGGCCTCGCGCGCAGGGAGCAGTTTTCATCCTCCTGCGGCGTCAGGGAGCGCCAGGCTGCGGTGGGCCCTGGCTGTCAGGGGGCACCTCATCGCTGCTGGGCACAGAGCTCTGGGAGCGGGACAGAGCCAGGCTCACAGTGAAAAGGGGGCTGCTTTTCTTCCTGTCGCGGCTTAAGTATCTTTGCAGAACGGGAGCAGAGGGCCGGGGGCAGCTGCTCTGAAAGTCTGGCTTTCCCTGCCTGCCCAGCCAAGCTGGGTGCAGCGGGGACGCTTGGCTGCTGCAGCCTTGGCACCTGTGTGAGCCTTGGCCTCTCCGCACCCCCTCCCTGTGCCCTTCTCCTTTGCTGAGGCAGCTCTGCTGACCTGGGCCATGGGTGTTGCCCCAGGGGTGCAAAAGGGAGGTATCTCCTGATGCGAGGCGCCGGTGGTGGTGCAGGGACCTGTGGCCGCGCAGTGGATAGAAGCGATGGTGCAGCCCCTGCGAGGCTGTGGCGCTGGGCTCCCCCACCGCCGTGTCCCCTTGTGGGGACGGCGCCAGCACGGGCTGGTCCTGGGGAGCCCCACAGCTGCCAGCAGCACTGCCCGGGACACCCTCTGCAGCCCCTGGGAGGCCCTGTCCTCTTGTGGGGAGGACTGCAGAGGAAGCGCAGGCTCGTCTGGGGCAGGAGCCGCAGGGCTGAGGCTGTCAGCGTGCTGGGCGGTGCAGCGGCCATGGGCCGCGGGGCAGAGGGCAGCGTGGGGCGGTGGAGGTGGTGGTGGCAGCGGGCTGGCTCTGGCCGGTGGTCCCTGCGGTGCTCGCGCTCACGTGGCGCCTTCCCTCCTGCAGGTGACAGCCACAGACGCGGACAGCGGCGCGTTCGGCTCCCTGTCCTACTCCGTGGGCTCCGGCATCGGCAGCGTCGTCCCCACGCAGTTCAGCGTGGACAAGCACACGGGGCAGCTGTGCACGGTGCAGCCTCTGGACCGCGACGAGGGCACGTCTGCCTACGACTTCACCGTCACGGCTGTGGATGGGGTGAGTGCCGGCGGGGCCGCGGGGCTGCTGGCTCCGCACTGTGCAGGGCACGCTGCTGCCCTTGGCCCTGCTCTTTGCACCGTCTCTGATCGGGTCCCTCCGTAGGGCGGCCTGAACTCCATGGTGTATGTGAAGGTTTTCCTGGAGGACATTAATGACAACCGGCCGGTGTTTTACCCGCTGGAGTATGCTGCCAGCATCAGCACACAGAGCATGCCCGGCACAGCCGTGCTGCGAGTTACTGCCCACGACAAGGACGAGGGGCTGAATGGGAAGGTGACCTACCGCATTGTCCTGGGAAACTCCCCCCCGCTCTTCTCCCTCAACAAGGACACAGGTGAGGGGGAGCGCAGGGGGCAGCCGGGGTGGGCGGCCGTCAGAGCGGTGGTACGTGGGCAGGGGTCAGAGCCAGCCCGAGGGTCACTCCTCGCCCCTCTCAGCAGTGCAGTCTGCCACCAGCATGTGTCTGTTCCTCTCCCTGCCACCTCTTCCCTGCCTCAGCTTCCTGAGCCTCCGGCAGCCCCTCCCCAGACTCAGTCTCACCTCTTGTTTCTGCTCCCTTGCTCCATTCCTCATCTGTCCCATCTTCCTTTCTCTCCCTCATTTCCCCTCCCTGACTTACTCCACCTTTCCCCCTGCATGCTGCTTGCTTTGCCCCTTCAGGCTGTATCCTGCTTAGTTTCTTGTCCCTGCCCAGTTGCCTCCTCTCCCCTTCTCAGTTTACTCTCTTTCCCTGTAATTCTGGCACACTCAGTCCTGCCTTTCTCACTGGCTGCATCTTCTGGGGGTGGGTTCGTGGTGCCAGGGGCTCTCAGCAGGGCAGGAAGGTGCCCTGTGCTCGGCACAGGCACTGAGGTCTCTCCACACGGGTCCCTGAGTTCCCACAATGTGACTGGGGTGAGGCGGGCCTACCAGCCACCCTAATGCAGGGCCGCCTCCTTTGTAGGGCCTGTCGAGGACAGTCCTTCAGTTCCAGGTCTCCACCAAGAGCCTCCCTGCAGCCCAGACCCCACCTGCTGTCTGTGCCCCACCCTGTGCCCCACACTGGAAGCCCCATTCCCTCCTTTCTCTTTCCCAAGACCTGCCCTCGGGCTTGTTTCCCCCAGCCCTTACCCCTGCTTAGCTCAGGGCTGAGCTTAAGGTTGAGAAAGGAGGATTTGGGGGGGATTTCCCCGCAGGTTCCTCTTATTTACTCCAGTTCCTCCATGGCGAGCCCCCCACGGTGACACACATTGTTTGCTGCCCCCTTGGTTCTTCCTTTTCAAGCTTACGGCTCAGCCTGTTCCCTCGGTGCCGGATGCCGGACAGGGGGGCAGGCATCGTGCCTTCCCAGCTGCTTTCTTCCCTAGGTGTCATCTCCCTCTCATGGTCCCTGAGTGGTAAAGCCAACACCCTGGTGCAGCTGGTGATCTCTGCACAAGATGGTGGGGGCCTGCAGGCACAGCCAAATGCCCGGGTGAACATCAGCGTGGTGGAGGGCACCGTCTCCCCGCCTGTCTTCGAGCAAGCTCAGTACTTCTTCACGGTGGCCGAGGACGTGCCGCAGGGTGCCAGTGTGGGGGCTGTCCGGGCCCAGAACCCTCCAGGTACCGGCTTGTCCCCTTCGTGTGCTGTCACTTGCCCTGTCCCGGCGTCACCCCGGAGGGCCGGTACCTCACCTCCTCACAGAGCAACCCCGTTCTGGGGGCTCCCCGAGGCACACGCGCCGCTGCGACTGCCACTGAGTTCTGCACGCTCTCACACGTGTGCTCACACACGCGTGTACACACGCATCCGTGTGTCCGTGCACGTGCGCACAGTGCTGCTGGGCACCCCCTGAGCAGAGTCTGCCGTGGTCTGCGGGGGCCGAGGTGACCCACATCACTCTTCCTGACTCCGTGTCCCTGTCCGCAGGTCATGCTGATGACATCTTCTATTCCATCTCCTCGGGGGATCCTCACGGCTACTTCTCCATCGACTCTGCCTCGGGGCAGCTCCGCACCAGCCTGCCCCTTGACCACGAGTCCCAGGCTGTCCTCATCCTGGACGTGCAGGCCCGCAGCGGTTCGCCTCCTGCCTACAGCAACACACGAGTGAAGATCTCCGTGTCAGATGTGAACGACAACGTGCCGGTGTTCCCGGCCCCCTCCGACTCCATTCTGCTGCCAGAGGCCACGGAGCCTGGCACCACAGTGTACACTCTGCAGGCCGAGGACCGCGACAGCGGCGCCAACGGGCAGGTCGGCTTCGAGCTGGTGTCGGGCGGCGCCGGCACCTTCAGCGTGGAGCGCGCCTCGGGGGCCGTGCGCCTGGTCGGTGCCCTGCAGTACGAAGCCAGCGCGGCCTACAGCCTGGCCATCGTGGCCCGGGACAGCGGCACTCCCCAGCTCAGCTCCACCTTCACGTTGCTGGTGCACGTGCAGGCCGAGCACGACAACGGGCCCATCTTTGACACGCTCACCTACCGCGTGGAGGTGCAGGAGGGCGTCCCTGTCTCCACCCGCTTCCTGCAGGTGCGGGCGCTGGCGCGCGACGCGGAGTCCCTGCCCCTCACCTACCACCTGCGCGCCGACGGGGACGCCGCCAGCTTCGGCATCGTGCCCGAGAGCGGGTGGCTTTACGTCAAGAGCGCGCTGGACCGGGAGACGCGGGACCTGTACGTGCTCACGGTGCTGGCCTCGGCGGGAGGGGCCGGGGCCGGTGGGGAAGCCCGGAAAACGGGCACCAGCACCGTGCGGGTCAGCGTCACGGATGAGAATGACAACAGCCCCCGGCTGAGCGAGGAGCGGTACTTCTTCACTGTTCCGGAGAATCAGGCTCCCGGCAGCAGCGTGGGGAGGGTGATGGCCAGCGACCGGGATGCCGGGCAGAACAGCCGCCTCACCTACCGCCTCCTCCAGCACGATCCCAGCTTCCTGATCCACACGCAGACAGGTGAGAGCCTCCTGGCTCCCTCGGCTGGGGCAAGGGCCCAGCACAGGTCGGAAGGGGTGGGGGCCAGGCCAACCTCCCTAGCCCTGCGGTGCCGGGCTCCCCAGCGACACACCTAGGCACAGGCTCTCCTCTGAAGCTGCTTCTGGGCTGAGCTGTGTCCCTGCGTCTCCCTCGCAGGGGAGCTCAGCACCAAGCAGAGCCTGGACCGGGAGCAGCAGTCCAGCTACCAGCTCCTGGTGATCGTGCAGGACGGGGGAGCACCGCCCCGCAGCGCCACAGGGACCATCTATGTCACCGTGCTGGACGAGAATGACAACGCTCCTGCTTTCCTTCATGTGGCCAGTGGGCAGGAGCTGCCCGTGCAGGTGGGGGCAGCAGGCTGGAGCCCTGGGGGGCAGAGGTGTGACAGCCCCCGGGCTGGGGGCGGGTGGTTCTGCAGAAGGAAAAGGAGTGGGCAGGGGCACCCGGGAGAGTTTCGGGGTGGGAGATAAGCAGGCACCAGTTGCATCCCTGAGCAGCCAAGGCAGTCTGGGGAACCTGAGGTGTGGTGAGACGGACGCGTCCTTGGGAGGTACGGATGTGCCTGCGCACGGAGCAGGGCGCCCTGAGACTGACGAGGGTGACCGGCAGGCAGAATCTTGGCTCATGGGTGCCTGCAAGGACGGAAGGTGAAAGGGAGCCTCAGCCTGGCCCGGCAGAGCCAGGGGTAACGCTGCTGAGCAGGGGGGCACGGGGGGCTGTTAACTTGGAGGTCTCAGGACTTTCGGTGTAGCCACTCGGCTTTCTGGGCGGTCTGGAAAGCGCTGCCCAGCTGGACTTCGCTCTCACGGGGGTATTCTGAGGGTCTGCTCTGGGTCCCAGCCCAGCACTGTGGTGGCGGCGGGCGTGCTGCACATGGCGTTGTGTCTGTGCTGCTCAGCGGAAGCGGGTGAGGACCGACCCTCCAGCCCCCCCGGCCATGGCCCCTGCGGGGTGGCCCCTTGCCCAGGGCTTGCTGAGCCGAGCTGGCAGCAGTGGAGCAGTCGAGGCCGTCCTCATCCCCTCTGCCCAGCCTGGGGAGAACCTGCGACAGAAGAGATGCGCTTGCTCCGCGCGCCGCCGCGCTTCAGGCCGCGTGCGCTGCGCTGGGTTTAGCACGTGACGGTGATGGCACCTTCTCTCTGTCGCTGCTCCCACCTGAGCTGCGCCCCCGGGGCAGGTCGGAGCAGGCAGAGCTGTGTTGGCAGGTCTCTTCGCCCTGGCTGCCCACCAGCACAGGGCCCGGGGACACCGCAGCTGCGGCCAGGCCTTCCCCCTTCATCACTCTTTCCCTTCCTGTTCCAGGTCGCATCCCTTGCCCAGCCGCCTTCTTGCGTGTCCCTCTGTTACTCTCTGCTTGAAAAACTGTCTGGCAGGGCTTGGCCTGGACGAAGGCATCTCTCAGGGCCTGGTGGAGGCAGAGGAGGGCAAAGTTAGTCTTGTCCTCTCTCTGAGCAAGGCTCTGGCCTCTGAGTCCCTCCTGCAGGCCAGGGCCCAGCCAGCCATGGCGCTGCCGACCCCGCGCAATGGCTTTGCCCGCTCTGTGGCTTCTGAGTGTCCCGGCCCTGCGCGGGGGCCCCGCAGCGCGCTCGCCCGCGGCTCTGCGGCTGAGCCGGGTCTGGGGGCACGGGCCGCGGGGAGCGTCCTGCCAGAGCTCAGTGGGTCTCCTCACAAAAGCGCACACATCCATCAGGAGACAGCGAGCCTGGGACAGGTTTAGAGTCCCGAAGGCAGGTAAATGCTGCGACAGCTTTGAACAAAACAAAGGCTTGGGCACTTTGGTTTGAAGCTCTCCTGCGAGAAACACTGGTGGGGCAGGGTGAGGCACAGGAGAGGCTGCTGTTAGCCGTGATTTAGGTGCAGAAAAAAGGCTTGGAGGGAAAAGTGGAAACTCATGAATGCAGAGCTCAGTGATTTATTGCACGCTTGCTCTGTGAAACGTTCCTGCCGCTGTTCACCAGGCAGAGCAGAGGGAGGTTTCTGTGTGAGCTCCTGGCTCTGAGCACCACCGGGAGGGGTATGTCCCGCTGTAGGGTCGCACGGTGAGCTGGTCGAGCCGTGGGTGATGCTGGCGGGACCAGCGTGCTCACACGAACTGCAGGGAGCGGTCACTGGGGGAGAGGAGGGAGAAGGGTCTGTGTTCACAGCGGGGGCCGTGTCGCTGGCGGGCGCCTGGGACTGGAGCGACTATCTCTGCTCTTCAGCGTTTTCATGTATCCCCCAGAAGTGACCGATTGTTGAGGGTCTGTTCACAGGGGGGAAGGTGAGGGCTCCCCGTTCCATTTGGAAAGAAGGTGGGGGATGAAATGCACTGTTGCTAACTGGGAAGTGATACACATGGCCAAAAGCAACACGAGTTTCACTTACACAGCGAGCTGGCTCTGAACTGGCTACTTGACTTTAGGGAGAAGATCAGGGCATCGCTGTGAACTCTGTGTGAAAATGTTGGCTCAGGGCTCAGCCACGGTCAGAAAAGCAAATCAAATGCAGAGTTTTATTAGAAAAAGAAGAGAGAATGAAAGAAAACATCATTACCCTACGCCTCGAATTCTGCACATCTCTCTGCCCAGCCTCCATCTGACCCAATAAGCATAGTGCTAGAAGAGGTTCGGAAAAGGATGTTGATGTGATCTCCAGTAGACAGCAGTTTCCGTGCAGAAAGAAAATACTTGAACGTTCATTGGTGTGGAAGAAAGTTCAGGGGTATAACGGAGGTGTGCAGTGAATGGCACAGAGGAATTCTTGGGGGAATTAGAGGTTGCTTTTTTCACGACACAAGACCTAGGCAGCTTCATAAGAAATGACCAGGCAGCAGGTTTAAAATAAACAAAGGCAGTACTTCTTCATGCATGCAGAACGTAATTAAATTGTGAAATCATTGCCAAAAGTTGCATGGGTTCAAAATTAGATGAATTCATGGAAAGAAAAAAATCCTTCAAAGGCTGTTGGACAAAAATATGATCTGTGGCTCAGGAAGTGACTTAGCCACAGGCTGCTGGAAGCGGGGAAGGTTTCACAGGAGGATTGTTCCATACGTACCCTATTGCTTGCCTCTTCACCGCGTATCCGCTGTCGGAGCTGTGCCAGTGGTTGAGGTGTCTCTCTGATCTCTGGACCAAGCTGGTGCTTGCCCCAGCCCTCTCGGAGCGGGGACCTCTGGCCGGGCAAGCCTGCCTGCGTACCAAGGCTTCTGCAGAGACAAGGCCACTTGTGTTGCTGTCTACTCCTGTTTGTGCATCTGAAATGGCATTTGTGCACCGAGCCTGGGCACTGCTCGTGCTGCTGCTTGCCTCGGATGGCGTCTGGTCCCTGGTGGAAGGGGACGTGACGGTGCGGGCGAAGCAGGAGCCCCCAGTGTCCTGGCTGAGGGCAATTGGGGAGGGGGTGGGGGGCAGCCCTGCCCCAGCCTGCTGCAGAGGAGGGGGTGGAAGGGCCTCCTAAGCATGGCCCCGCTCAGAGGTGTCCACGCAGACACTCCTCTTTGTAAACAGCCAAGCTATATTTAGAAGGTCTTCTGCCTCCATCACTGCTGTGAAATGCTGTTCTAGATTCCTTGATCTGGTAGTTAGAAACCATCTCTTAATTTCCAGCCTAAACTAATTTCTGACCACTTTACACTCATTTGTTCTCGTGCCAATATTGTGGTTTTGCTTAAATAGCTCTTCTCTCTCCTTGGAATTTCCCTCCCCTCTCCCCAGTGTTTACAGAGCGCAGTCACATCACTGCTCGGCCTGGCTAAACAAGTCCAGCTCCTCTGGTCTCCCCTCCCCGGGCGCCACCAGCGCGGTGCCAGCAGCTTGTGCAACATCATTAACACTTGCCTTCTCCCAGGAGCTTGCAGCCTCTTCCCTTGGGTTCTTGCTCAGATCCCACTTGGCTTTTTCATGAACACATTGAGGTGGTTCCGTGCAGAGGTCACCCAGCGCGGCTGGACCTGTGAGATGTGCTGTGGGATGCCCGGGTAGGGTGTGAAGTCAAGGGTGTAACCTCAGAATGAGTCTGGTCTCGTCTGGTGTGGAAGGGGCCGCAGAGTCTGTGCTGGGTGCTCCCCAGTGGGGTGTGGGCAGGCGTGGGTCCTTGGCTGTGGGTGCTCCCTGAACGGGGAGGTGGTGAGGGGCAGCCATGGGGCTGTGTCCGTTTCCATGACTACGCAGGAAGGATGCTTGCACGCAGCGCTGCTGCGTGTGGTCTCACTCGGAGAGCTGGTGACTCGCCTCAGACTGGGGCATTAGCAGAGCGTGGTGTGTAATTAATGTCTTGATGGCGCTGAGATGTGCTGGCATGGAACAGTGGTCTGGAGTGCCCAGAGACAGGCAATCAGCGGTGCTGACTAGGAGCAAAGGAGAGAAGGGAAAAGCCCTGAGAGTCCCGGTGTTTGAGCCCAGGAAGAACTGCCAGCTGCATTTCCAGAGATCGCAAACCTCCCCGGGCTGGCTGGGGGAGCTCAGGGCTGCCGGCGGCCTCCGAGCCTGCCGGTGCTCACACCTTTGGTCTGTGGCGGACGGGTCTGTCTGGGGCAGAGAGAACCAGGACTGTTGCGGAGCCCTGGGTTTGCCTGGCGTAGAGGCTTTAGCTGTAACGTGGGTGAAACAGTGTCCTCCCATCAGCCGGCAGCTCACTGCTGCAGCTCGGCTTAGCCCTGCTCAGCGGGTTGTTGAACAGGGCACAATGGGGGGGCTGGCGAGGCAGAACCTCCCTTTGCCAGCTTGGCGGGGGACCTCTCCATGTTGTCCGGCCTCGGGCGCAGCCTGTGGGTCTCGCCAGGGGTCTGTGCCCTGGGTGAGGTGCGGGGCTGGTGGAGAAGGAGGTTGCAGAAGGCTGCAGGAAGGTGGAGATCCTCTGGGTGCTCGGGGCTCTGTGGGGTGACCTGAAGGGTGCCCTGTGCCACTCACCTGCTCCCCGGGCTGTGCTGCAGGTGCTGGAAGAGAAGCCATCGGGACTCCTCATCGCCTCCCTGCAGGCCAAGGACCCCGACGAGGGTGAGAACGGGACCATCGTCTACTCACTGATAGGTATGAGCTGAGGACGGGCTGACTGATGCCGCTCTGCCTCGCGGCCATCACCCTGTGGCACACGGTGCCCGCTGCCAGGCCCTGCCACATCATGCTCCCTCCTCGGTCCCAACGCGCCCCCTCCCTCCCTGCCTCTCCCCGCAGCATTCCACCTTCTTTCTGCAGGAGCCTGGGCAGAGCGTTTCACGCTGCACGTGGCCACCGGAGAGCTGCGGACTGCCACGGTGCTACGCCGCGCTGACCGCGCCGAGTACATCTTCACCGCAACGGCCAGCGACCGGGGAGCGGTGCCTCGCAGCACCTCGGCCATCATCCGCGTTCAGGTGTCTGCGCCCCAGCTCCCCCCTGACCGCCTACCCCGTGCTCACCTCGGGGGCACACTTGGCAGCCTTCCTCCCCACCCTCATCCTGGGGCACCCTTTGCCCAAGTGTAGATCCAGCCCTGAAATCTGGGTGGGGAGCCCGGGGTGGGCTCCCTGCCACCGTGCACGTTCTCGTCTGTGAAACCCCAGCACTAGTAGTAGCCGTTCTGCCTTCTCCAGACTCGGGCAGCCAACCCTGTCCTGGGCACGCTGTTGCAGACCTTGGAGGTCCCTGCACAGAGACATTAGTTCTTCCCAGCATGTCCCGAGGACAGTCCCTGACGTGCAGGGCGTTCTCCACGTCTGTGTGACCTTGGCTGTCCCTGGCTGGTGCAGACACCCACGTCCTTTCCCTGCCGTTAGCCTCCTCTCACAGCACAGGCTCCAGTTCCCCCAGTCACGGCACTTTCAGAATACACCACATCTTCCTGCCCCGTTCTTGCAGTTCCCGAGGCCGTTTCACTCTCCTGGCTTGACGTTCTGCTGCTTCTCCGTGCTGGCAGTGCCCTCAGACATCATCACCAAGTTCATAACGTGCTTAGCTTTCCTTTGCCCTTGCGCTACCCAAAGTAAACGTCAGCAGCAGGAGCCTCCTTGAGCCCGTCAGTCTTTGTCCTTTCTGTCACGCAGCCATGCTCACACTGGGCCTTCCCCAGTTAGTCCGCGATGCCCCGTATGCTGCTGCACCAGCTAAAGCCTTGACAAGTGAGATACACGTCGGTCCTTGAGGAGGGAAGCACGGTGTTAGCTCGACACACCCGCCTACAGCCGTGCCTGTAACTGTCCTTGTCACTAAGGCTGTCCTGCAGCCCCCAAAGCACGAGGCCAGGCTGCTCATCCCTGAAGCGCCTGTTTGCACCCCTAGAACGCAGCGATTTGCTTGGCAGTCGCCAGCTTTGGCACCCTCTGGGCTGGCGGGTTGGCTGCATTCTCTTTTTCCCCAGCTGCTCGGCGTGAGTGCACTGAGTGCTGCAGCATGTTTTCCCCTCACACAACACCGTGAGTTTTCATGCGTCCCCTCTCCCATCCACCAGTGCACCTCATCCCCAAATTCACTGTCTTTCGCAAAAGTAGTGATAGTAGTTATTTATCTTTGGGTCACACTGCGTTGTCTTTCCTCTCTGCACCTCTCAGCTGGAGGAGTGTTACCTCTCCTCTTGCCCACTCCTGTTTTACAGAATGATTTCTGCTGCCTTTGCAGTTTCTAACCCAGTCACAGACTCACGGAGCAGTTGAGGCAGGAGGCGCCTCTGGAGATCGTCCTGTCCAACTCCCTGCTCAGGCAGGGCCACCCAGAGTCCGGCGCCCAGGACGGTGCCCAGGTGGCATTTGACCGTCTCCAAGGATGGAGACTTCCCCCCCA